AAGTCATGTAGAATTTTTTTTAAACATAAATGCTACATTTTTAAAAATCTTTTTATTTTAATTTTCTTAAAAACAGCACACATACAATGCCACAGAATAGCTACTATAAGGATAAATAACACATCAAACTGACTAAACAGTAACACTGTACATGTTATAGAGCCAAGTATTTAAAGCTTTATATTAGAAACCCCCCCCCCAAAAAAAAACATTTACAAATTGTTAGGGATGCACCGATACCACTTTTTCCAGTACTCGCCCGATACCGATACTTTAATTTTTTTGTCCTTGCCGATACCGAGTACTGATACCGATATTTTTATTGCATTTTTACATTTTTTAAATATTTGGTACAGAAACCAAAAGAGTATGTATAATGTTAGTTGGTTAACTTCATTTATCAAATAGATAGTCAAACCAAAATGTATTCAGACACCTTCAACATTTCTCACATTATCACAGTTCATTCGCTATAGTTTAGAAAATGGTAATACAACATGACAAGAACTCAGAGTTAAACTGTGTCAGAACAAATTCAGCTTGATAATGCTAGATAACTTTGATAGAAAGGTAAAATGTACCATGTGAAAAAGAAATGTTTCTGAAAGTAATTGTCAGATGCAACGGGGGAAAAAACGGGATAAACACAAACATGTAACTTGTAAATAAAATAATCTGATATATAGCCTATACAATTTAATAACATATAGTAAATATGTTTAATAACATATTTAAAAACAAAAAAAAAAAAAAAAAAAAAAAAAAAAAAAAAAAAAAAAAAAAAAAAAAAAAAAAAATTTCAAGTTACTTCCATTTCTGAAAAAAAGAATGTAGGCCTAGTAATTGATATTATAAAAACACACGCCTGATTTTTGTTTGAATTATCCATCGTACATAAAATAAAATAAAAACATTTGCAATCAAGACTGAAAAAAGCCAGAAGTGAATGTAGGCCTAAACCAGATTTGGCCCAGACTCTGTTGCTATCTGTGAAGCCAAGCATAAGAATAGCCTACTAATGTAAATTTGTTAACCCACAGAGCACCGTTCTTATTTCGCTCTGCATAACCTGAACGAATTTTTTTTTATTATTTTTTGCTAAGAACGCTTTTAATCTGTGTATTTAACAGACTGGGAAACCTTCCCAGGGCAGTACCTTGCCTCACCGACTAAAATCAGGGCGCCCACTACAGAGACGGCACTGAGAGCTGGTTATGTATGGACAGCATTTCAGTCACTATAATATTTATTCCGTTGTCTGACAACAGAAACAGTAAAACATATTAATAAAAACAGTTTTATTGAGAATTTGTCTGCATTTAAATGCAGTACGTGAGCACAGGGAGGCAAGACAATACGACGCACTGACGTCATGAATATGCTAATTAGCGTATAACTTCATCTAGCGACATTTAGCGACTCTTCAGGCGGGGTTTAGCTACTTTCCATTGAAAGAAGTTGGCAACACTGGGAAAGTCTCAAAAATACACACACAAATCCAAGGCGATTCACATTCACAGCCCATGATAAACTCGTGAATTTTAAACATTCAGAAATTTTGTACACAGTTGTACAATTGTGAATTGTGTTTTGCATTTGTGAAACGTATTTTATGAATATATATTCTTATTTTGTGCACGTGAATTGGTTTTTGTGAATACATATATATATATTTTTCGTGCACGTGAATTATTTCTCATGCATGTGAATTGGGTTACGCATGTGTGCATTTCGTCTTTTGCGTGAATTATTACTGAGGTTATTATGGCTCCATACAATCATAGCAATGACTCGAGGCATGATTTAACGGATTCACTCGCTTAAATTTAACATGAGCGTTTGTCATTCCTGAAACGGTATACGTGGAAGTTTGGTCCTCTTAGACAAACAAAACTTTTCTCCAAATTGTGAATGGATTATGTAGAGAAATCTAGCAAAGGGCGCTCCCCTTAGGGCACAGTACAGTTGACCGGAAATGACTGAGCTGGCTTATCTAAAACCAGGAAGTAATCGTGAATATGGTCAATTGTTTTTCACCATAGGATGCTAAAACCAAACTATCTATTTTAAAAGAGAACTGTGAAAGTTACAATTTAGTTACATAAAGTAATAAATTACTTAATAAAATAGACCTACATGAAAGTAAATAAAGTAAGAAAGTAAATACCAGTAATACCAAATATTATAATGACATATTAGTTAGCACACCTATGGCTGAAATGATCTACAAAACAAAGTTTGAGTGTTAAATGGTTGATTAGTTGTAGAAAAAGAATAACCAGAGCAATTTCAACAGAGTGCCACTGCCTTGCAAGAATTAGTTATAATAAAAGAATGTGTGTATGAATAATGACAGTGATGATGATGATGAAGATCAAAGACACACACTGACCTCCAGATAGAGTTTCTGCCCTGGAGGATGATGCCAGTAAAGAGTGCTGGTCTGAGAGCATTCAGCTGCAACCATTTTTCCTGATCCTCCACCCCAGCACATTACGCTCCATCATACTCATCATCAGACCAGACTACGCACAACACACGTATGCAAATTCACAGCATGCTTCATCAAATCTACCTTCAAAATCTTCTACACATTCTACACACTACAAAAAAAAAAACATACACACAGCGGGCTGACCTGTATGTTAAGTCGTCCTCTGTGAGGACCAAGCCCAACGCTCAAATACGAGGATGACGCCAACTGATCATCAGAGACTTTCAGAGACTCCAAACCCAGCGGTGGACAGTCTGATAGATTGAGATTGAAACAAACTAATTTAAGACTGATCAAGAGTTACTTATTAGGCTAGAGAGGAGCCTGACAGTGTTTAGAAGCTTTATTTTTAAAAGTTTAGGGAACTCTCTCTCTCCAAAGGGTTTTATATGGTTCTCTTTTGAAATTACTTCAAGAAGTAACATCTTCTTCTGGTGGGAATGCAGGAATGCTGAGCCAGGAAATGTCCCATTGATTCACGGTTATTGCTTAAAACAAAGGCTGATGAATTAGCATCATGTTCGTTGCTTAAGCATTCCTGTATTCCCACAAATTCTTGACCTAGTTTCCCCTTAAGTATACATCCTGATATTAAACAGATGTGATCAGAAAAAAAAACCTTTTGCAACACAAAAAGTCAAATGTTATGCATTATACATAATGACATGCATTAAGTGAATGCATGTGCTGAACAGATACCTAACCTAATACTAATGTACTGAATAGACACCAGTGATATAAATAATATTCATATATTGGAATAAATAGTAGGCCTATATAATGAATAGTGACAAAATATTACTAAATATTAGACAACTTAACCTCAGTTTACCCAAAACGGGTGACTTTCTTTCTTCTGAAGAACACAAAATAAAATGTTTTGAAGAATACTGGTATGTTTTGTACAAAAATAAATAAATAAATAAATAAAAAAAAACAAGAAAGAAGGAAAACTGAGACATTTCTCTATCTCTAAATATCTTCTTTTAGAAAAAAAAAATCACTGAACTATCACAAACATGATCTGTTACTTAAGTAGAAGAAGGTCATAGACAGACATTTTAAGGCATGTTATAACGGCGCGCCATACAGGACATTTAATTCCCTCACTCTCAGACTGATCATGAACTCGCCTGGTTTTGCTCCTTGGGTCTCTTTGTTCATCTCTTCTCCATCTTCACTGGTATTCCTCTGTGCCTGAGTGTGGTCTTTTGCTGTGTCCAAACTTTCAGTAACATTCCCAGCCAGATTTAATATTGACTTTAAATCATTAGATTCAGATTTGGTAACATTATTATTATCTGTCTGATTTTCAGATGAAAGACTATTTATATTTATAAAGAAAGTATTAGTGCAGCACAAACGTGTACTCTTTGTATAAGCATTTTCCTTCTCCAATAACCTATATTCGTGTCCAAGCAGTATTTAAAATCAGATATTGGAAGAACGCCCTGTAACATAATACCAGACCCCCACTACTACCGTATATTGTAGAATAGACGCCGTGCAGACTGGGATTGTGTTGTCAAGAGAAGTATTAACCCTATAAAACCTGTTGTACCACATTGACACATACATTTCTAAGGCCTCTAAATTATTAACGCGATCAAACTTTGTAAAAACACCATTGTACACAATTTTCTACTCGCCCTCTGATTTACAGTTCATACTTTTTTTGGTAAGTAAAAATAACTGTATTAATTAATTAATTATTTATTTATTTATTTATTTAATCACGTTACAATTTAACACATGCCAAATAACTCAAAAATTTCAGTCATCATGTTGCATTGCATTACATATTTTGACCCCCACAAATGAAAATGAAAGAGCTTTGATTATAAAACTTTTTAAATATCACTATATTGTTATGATTTTTGGGAGATGAGTGACAACTGACAAATATATGGATAAGTCTGATCCTGTTATAAAAGTCTATAAAAGTAAAAATGTCTCTGTTAAACAATTTTGTCATATAAGTGTTAAATTACCTATTTTTGCACTTTGAGCCTCTTAATAATACTGATTTATTATTCTTTCCACTATATCATACTACATGGGTCATAAAATAATATTCAACAAAAAAACACATATGCAAACTAAAATAAATAGGCCTAGCCTATATGCCTAAAGGTTTATAAAACTTCTCCATTAAATAAATAAATCTGACTGTTTTCGTATATCAGGTTTTACAGGCTTAACAGAAAATTAACACTTTCTCTAAGCTCATCCATCCAGTCAGTGGTAGGCTATCATGAAAACATGCAAGATTTTCCTTGCATAACTATTTTTTAAAAAGGTGTAGGCTATGTAAAACAGCAAATTTGCTAAAACAAACAGACATACTAACAAACAAAATAAAATAAATGGTATTTTTTGTGATATTGTAAGAATTTAAATCAGTCTACTTTACTCGTATGTTTTTCTTCTTCTGCTGAATACTGTTCACTGTGTCTTTTGATTTTGGCGCTCAATCTAAACGCCTCTAGTGGTCGTTTCCGTGAACTACAACACTCGCTCCTCCTACCTACAGATGGCGGTTCCCCACAAACGTAACCGCACTTTCATCATGGAGTGTATCAAATACATTTCTACAATGGCTGGTACGCATCTCATATAATTTTATTATAATGTTTATATATACGTTTTACTCTTTTCTGAACTAAACGGACGCGTATGGTAAAGTCACCGCCACTCACGCGGTTTGACAGCTAGTAAATTAACTTTACTTGCAAAATGTACTATGTTTAACGTTACATAACATTTAGTCAGAATTGATCAAGTAAACGCTCTTTTGTAAAGTTAGAGTTTTATTTGGAGTGCTTGTTTTCATTTGATTGTGTAGTCGGTAAAGCCTCGTGCTTGAAGAGCATCTTATGACTGGCAGCGTCTTCCGATAGACGGCCGGCTTTTTGTGTAATTTACTGTTTAGGGAAGGATTTGTCATAAAACATCAAGCACTTCGGCTAAAACAGCCTAGTTCGATGACTTGAACTGTTGCCAACTTGCCAGTAGTTTCGTTTCTCAAGGCTAGCTTCTTTTCCCGCCCATACACATTTCAGTTACAAAGTACAAATAATGAATGTCATAAGTCAATACAAATGAGAGGGATGCGCTGAAAGTAGCTATTTCCTTTTCTCCGTTTCTTTTCCAAGACCAACGGCTAAAGTTTTCTCCATTGTTTTTCTTTTTACAGACACACGCCCACCTGATGGAAAAACTGGAAGCATGTAGCACAGGTCTGTTGTCATCTGTTACTGTCATTTATTTCTATAAAAATACTGTAATATGTGGTGTGTATTGTAATGGCACAGACTTCTCAAAACAGGATTTGGTTATCTAAACAAATGATATTTTGCATGCGCACATGTAAGTTCACTTGTTTTAACACTTGATTCATGCATCTCACTTTGTTCAGATCACTCAGAAGACATTTAAAGACACCTGTCTGTGTTTCTTCAGTATAAAATGTCAAGTTTCCTCAAGCAGCACATCACCTCTATGGGTGAGATTATATGTGGTATATACTGTACAGGGATGCTTGGTGTGTTGGGCCGCTGTTGATCTGCTTGTGGGCTTACTGCGGTATGGCACAGTGGTAATACTGGATACATTGGCTTGCAGATTTTTCCTCCTGTTTTCTAGACTTAAGGCTGGAATGCATTGCACGGCGATTGCACGTAAATTACAATAGACTAGCCATCATACAATAAATGACTGACAGATGAAAACAATGTGTTCTAAAATCAGACCAAAAAAACAAACATGTTTGATCCTCCGACTGGATCGAATCATAATCTGAAGCTGCAAATCGGATTCTGTGCCCATCATACACTGTGATATTCTGCAAAGTCAGTCAACTCCAATTGCCTAAAATCTGCAGACTGGCTCTGACTTTTGGCAACTATCCACGACTCCATCAGACTGCAGATCGGGACAAAAATCTGTGCACAAGTCGTCTAGTATATTCCAGCCAACTGATGTCAATGCTCTTTCATATTTGCATGTCAGTCTGATTTGTGCCAGCTAACAATCTTAATAAGCATGCAGTGCACTAACATTTAATACAGGTTTGCGAGGTGATTCAGCTGCCATGATGAAATAAAGAGGTTGCTTTTGCACTTCTTGTCTGAATGTCTGACAATGTGTTTGCTTTATTTTAAGTGCAAGAATTCATTCCGCTTGGTGCTCCGCGACGTGACAGTGTAGCTGCCACACCACATCCTGTGTCAGGTAGTCCACGTATTGAACCTTCTGAGAAGACTCCAAAACTCTTGAACCCACTGCCTAATTGCATCCAGCCCACCAAAAACCCTGAGCTGGAGCAGAGGAACAAGTCCACTTCAGCTGCACTCAAAGCCTCCAACAAGAGACCAGAACAGGACAGTAATCTCAATCGGAAAGTTGGTGTGAGAAAACTACAACCGAGTAATGGCAACATTAACTCCAGGAAGAATGGCTCTCTCAATCCCATGGTTAAAAAGGACATCCTGCAGAGGACCAGTTCTTACAACAGAAACAAAGAACTTTCTTATGCTCTCAGTAAGGAGCTGAATGAAAACTTGAGGGTAAATGCAACTCTTAATTTTTTCTTAATGCATTTTAAAGTTATTATCCACATTTCTAAGAGTATTGTAATGCAGGGATTCCCAAACTTTTTTTTTTCAGCCAAATTAAATTAAATCCTTTAACAAATTGTGTTTTATTCAGTGCAATAGCAAGATATAACAGTTGAAATACTTTAGAGCTGAGCATAAATAGAAAATAATTTAATGCAAAAATTGCCATCACTTTTAATATTTAATTAATTTCCATGACTGAATAAATAATTGCTGTACCTCCTGAGATTTAAGTTAATATTTAAATAATTTAACAACACATTTGCATGTCCACAATTTTCTGATTTCTGGTTAATGGTCAAAATGACATGCAGGTAAACAAACTAAATATTTTAAATCAATAGTCTTTTATTTTGATTGTTTTTATTTTGAAATTATTTATTTATTATTATTATTTTTGTAATTTTATGATTTATTTAATTATTAGCTTTTCATCAACTCATGAACCCCCTGCAGTTCCCTTAGCATGGGAAACCCTGTATTACTCAATACTCATACTTTACATTGGCTTATCTGTTCACTGTTTTTTTCTGGTGATTAACTTGGCTTTGGCAGTAATGGAAAATATTATGGAATTATAAAATGGGGTTTTCCAGGATGTAAAGTCATTGAAAGTAATAAAATCTTAAAATCTTGAAAAAAATTTTTTTGCATTGAATTGATTGATTTTTTCCCCATTTATGCTAAGATCTAAATGTTTTATCAGTTATATCTTGCTATTGTGTATAGTAAATCTTTTCATTGTGATGTCCAATTTGTGAGCTTTTAAGATTGTTCTTTTCTGTGAATCGATCAAATGGGTTCTCAGATAAATCTGAATGATTCATTAATGCATCTGTCATAATCAAAGATGATTTTTTTAAATGACTGGAAAGGCCAAAGTACTGGAATTTAATTACTCCAAAAATGTGGGAACCCTGTCATTTAGATGTTGTTACATAATTGTTATAGCTTGTGGTTGGTGTTTGTTTATTGTATTCTAACTTCATAATCCTCTGATGTTCTGTGTTCAGCTTGGAGGAGGTTTGTTTCAGTCAGATGCTGTGAAGGTCCAGAGACATTCTCTTCTTTATACACCTCACTCAAGGCGTAACCCTGAGAGTAGTAGTTCCTGCTTATTCCAGCAGAGACCTAAAGCAGCAGTTAACACAGGGGAGAGGATCATCCACCATCCTGATCAGAAAAAATATAGACTGGAGAATAGAGACCACAAAACCTCCTATTGTAGCGACATGTCCGTACAGAAGGTACAGGTCAAGCTCTATATTTTTGTTGAATAATTTTATGTATGATTTCCACCTTTTTTCAAGTGACTATGGATGTCAAACATGTTTTCACGTATTTTCATTGATTGTTTTATAGGAATTAAGCACCCCTCACCACAAAACTAATCCAGGTAAGAATTATTACCCTTTGTTGTACTACTGATCTTGCCCAGCTTTTTATTTGTAACTTTTAAAACTAAGCTGTTTCTCTTTCTATATCAAATACAACTTTTTGCCAACAGAGGGCAGGATGTCCCTGTCTGTAAAGAGAAAAAGGGAGGGTAGTACAGAAAATGAGAAGGAAATGAAACGCTCATGTGCTGATTTCCAACCCACTACCAGCTCTTCCATTATAAACTCGCCTAAGTTCGTCAAACGTCCTTTCGTGAAGGGCAGCAATGAGTCTGAGATAACTATAAAGGAGAAGCAGCCCCCTAAAATGCTTCCTGCTGCACCAAACAGCAACAACAAACCCAGACTTCCGCCTTCCCTCCCCAGGCAGCTGTTTAAACCATGTAAGGACTCAAACACAGCAAGCGACAAACCTAACTCATTTCAACTCATTAAATCACCCACGACTGCAGAGCCAAAAGACGCTATGGTGGCACATGCCAACAAAAATCCCAAAGCTCCACCCAGCCAACCGCATTTGCGCAAAGTCTCTCCGAAGTTGAGCACAATGTTCGACAGCATCGAGACACCACTTTTTACACCAGGCTGTTGCTTACCGTCACCCAAAACTCATAATAAAAAAGCAAATGCTGAGAGAGAAACTTGCACACAAACAAGCCCCTATTCCAACCATAAGGAGAGTGTTAAAATTGTCTCGTCCCCCCATCATCCTGATCTAAGATCACCCAGCTTTGCAGAACAAGCCGGTTCACGTACGATGGAAACGGATGAAAGAACGCAGTTGAAAGTGGAGCAGTCACGCAGCCACAAGGCTATCATGCCTGCCCCAACCGTGTCGGTGAATGTAGAAGGATCAAGAGAACAGAAGTGCTGCCCCCAGTGGAAAGATCCCTTAGATATTGAGTTGGGAGACGACTCCGGCGATGAGCTGAGAGAGTACTGCAATATCAGTCTGAGCAGCAGCAGCAGTGGTCATGAAGATGAGCCGCTGCCATCTCTGGAGAAGCTGATGAGTCGGAGAGACCATGTGCCTGTTACTCCCGAAAAAGATGCTTTTTCAGAGCCCAACACACCTGTCTCAAAAGCAGCAGTAAGTTTAAGGATGTTCAGAAAACATGTCATGACCTCATGTGTCATTGATCAGTCTTTGACATGCCTGATTTTCACAAACACCTCTGTTTTTTTTTGTATTTATCTGTATTAGCCCGAGGCACTGAAAACCAAAGCCGTTAGTTATAGAAATACACTGGAGCAGATGCTGCAAGAGAAGGAACAATATCAGAGGTTGGTCTGAAAACCTCATTTGTTTTTTTCCCCCAACTTGATTCTCAGCATGTCTCATTTTGTGCTTGGCAGCCCTTGGTTTGTTGTAGTGCTTTGGATATCAGTGATTGAGAGGTAAAAATCTCAATGTAGACAGCTTTTATTAGTGGTGTTTACCAAAGCAGGCATGGCTATAAAAAGAATAATTCACCTAAAAATTTAAATTCTGTCATCACTTACTCGCACTCATGTTGTTCCAAACCTATAACACAGATCTGACATTTTTGTAATGAAATCTGAGCGTTTTCTGTCCCTCCTTTGAAAGTCCACACAAAAATGTTGACGCTCATAGAAAAATTTAATCATAAAAAAAATAATTGAGTAGTTGAATCCAAGAGTCAAGATTGCTTTATATTAAGAACAGATGTAATATAGACATTTAAATCTGTATATAAATATATATAAACACTGATCAACACGCATACATAAAGAAAATCGTTTGAGCATTCGTTTACCATATTTGATCTTCATTTGTGCTTTGATAATGGAACAACATGAGGACATGATCAGTCAATGATGACTGAATTTTCCGTTTTGAGTGAGCTATTCCTTTAAAGGGGTCATATGATGCTTTTTTAAAGATCATTATTTTATGTATTTGGTGTAACAGAATATGTTGACATGCTTTAATGTTCAAAAAACACATTCTTTTTCAAATACTGTACATTATTGTAGGTCCTCTATGCCCCGCCTCTTTCAAACGCTTCGTTTTCTACAAAGTCCCTCCTTCCAAAAAGCGCAGTCTGCTCTGATTGGCCAGCTGACCCAGTGCATTGTGATTGGCCGAACACCGCAAGCACTCGTCGGAAATGTAACGCCCCTTACCATAATCGCGAGCTTCATCTTTCAAAATAAATGTAAAGACAG